AAGCCATGGGCTGTGGTCATTCCTAGAGTGATTCACAGTTGGCAGCTCTTTTCCTAGGAGGTGATGGCTGCATGGGGGCTGTTATTTTGCCATGCCCAGTGGTTCCCCTTCTTCTGCACTGAGGTCCAGGAGGTACTGGCGATGATGCCCTGCCAGAAAGTTTGGAAGCCTTTATGGGTTCTCTAAGAGATTTTGAGAAAATCCTACAGGTTTGCTATACATGATTTCCTCCAGGGCTACTGAATATAACCATGAACATGACAGCAGCTCATCCAAAGAAACAGGACCTTAGCACATGAATCCAAGTATATAAATGCAGTGTCACAATCCCAATATCTATATATGGCGGAAGATCTGGACTGCACAGCAACATCCCTAGCCTATTAAAATAATCTGTAACACTTCACTTGACAGCTAGGGCACAAATAATGTAATATTATACTATTACTTCTGCATTAATTAACCACAATGTAACAGTTAGTTACGTATTGATGTCATGTCACTAAATCATTAATGAATCGTGATTCATGTTTTATCTCAAGCAATTACTATATTTGTTACTATTTGTGTTAATTCTGTAAACCTTCATGAACTACTGAAGGAACAAGTCACGAATAAGACAAGTAAAATACCAATCATGCTTGTTCATTAATGAATCGTGATGCATGTTATCTCAGCTAGCTTCTATATTTGTTCATGATTTGAACTTCAGTAGTAACTAAATTATTACTAAGTATTTGTACCAAATAATCCAATATTTAGAACAATCACCCCATCTTACTTCAAGGAAAATGACCACATCTTGAATTTTTTATTAATGGTAACAAGCCATCAACGAATCAAAATGCATTTCTGAAACACAAACAAAATGCTGATATTGGGAAATTGTATTAAATCAATTCATGGATGCATCATAACTGCTATCTTGGGCAGAAAGCATTTGTGCTCACATTCTTTTCTATAAAGAGAATGTAAAAGACAAAGAGAATGTAAAAGATAAACTTAACATCTTTTCTTTTTTAAGGAAACTTTAACGAAACTTTTTTTTTAACGAAATGCTTTTACTCATGGTCAAACTGTTACGGACCACATTCGGTAAAACACGTCTCGTGCAAAACTTAAACACCCCGTTTCAGCGCGCCTCCTTCAGCGAAATTTGATCTGAGCATGCGCAAAGCTGTCCTCAGTTGCATTGTGGGATCGATTGATACCGTCAAGAACGTCAAGCACAGTTTAACAAAAAATATATGTTGAATAATAATACCGATGAACTTAGTCGATTTCAAAGGTAGAAATGCACAATAGTACCGCAGGATGCGTTTTTACACAGATTTGTTTTACACATTCTTGTTGCCACTGACTCGCGACAAGGGTGAAAGTTGAAAGGTCAGAACGCGCGCCGGGGCGCGAAAGGTCACGACTCGAGTGGATCGGAGTTACAGTGAAGAGAAGCCGAAATTTTATTTGGACATTTATCTTACGTCCGTAGAGGCGTAAGTACCACCGTAGAATAGTTAGGCGGTAATTTAAACACGGTTAAAGAAGAAAACGTGGTGATTAATCCGCCTGTACACCCCTCGCAGAGCAGACATATATGTATACCTGATACACACGCTTAAGCCAAAATACAATACTTCTTTTTTAAAAATCATTTTTAGTGGCGAAAACGGTGGAGTAAACCATGGCTGAGAGACCAGAAGACCTGAATCTTCCGAACGCCGTCATCACCCGCATCATCAAAGAGGCGGTGAGAGACCCCGCTTCATTTTTGACCGCATTTTCAATACGATCCGCGTGAATACAAATTATACATACGTTAAAAACATAACAATCGCATACTATCAATTTCCCTGGAAACATATTACTCAAGTAGATTATTACAATGAATAAGTCCTGTGTTTATTTTAGTTTAAGAGAACAGAATTTCTGTGAATCCTCATGCCAGTTCGTGCGATATCAGAAAGAATATTATAGTGTCGAGTGTAATTCAAGTCCAAGCTGAAATGCATTCGTCGGACATAAATGGTCACTTTGTCCTGCGGTGAATGAACACACTTTGACGCTGTCACTCTGTGTCTTTCTGCTCCTCCAGCTGCCGGAGGGGGTGAATGTGTCCAAAGAGGCCAGAAAGGCCATTTCTCAGGCTGCCAGTGTCTTTGTGCTCTATGCCACTTCATGGTAACTTTTTCATTGTCCAGCATTTGTCTTTGCAAAGTAAACAAAGACTATGTGAACTAAGCTTAAGTTTGGTGTGTTTTATTTCCTTCCTTCCCCTGTCTCCCATGACATCAGTGCCAACAACTTTGCCATGAAGGCCAAGAGGAAAACCTTGAATGCAGCAGATGTAATGGCTGCCATGGAGGAGATGGAGTTCGAACGGTTTCTCCAACCACTGAAGGAAGCTTTGGAGGGTGAGCGTGGGATTTATGATGAGGGTTAAGGGCTGGGCATGAATTTAGCTGCGTATTGCTCCTTGGCAAAAACAGGCCTACTGCTAAAACTACAGTCTCTTTCCCCAATCTTTAAGCCTAAAACTACAGTCTCGTTCCCCAATCTTTAAGCCTAAAACTACAGTCTCGTTCCCATCTATAAGCTCTGCGCCCCCTGCTGGGCCCCTCAAAAACTGATTGCGCCACATATTTTTCTGGGCAGGCTTCAAGAAGAGCCAGAAGGGAAAGAAGGTGGCCTCTGAGCAGAAGCAGAGAGAGAAAGAAAAGAAGGCTGATGCAGAGAATGGCAAGGGCAAGGAGGAAGACAATGAAGATGAGGAAGAGCGTATGGATGAGGAACAAGAAGAGGAAGAAGACGAAGAGGAGGTGGAGAATTGATGGTCGGTTACATGTCAATATAGTCTGCTGTCTGTCTGTTGTTGGACATTCACCTGTTATGGATGGTAATAACCACTATTACGACCTGATTGGTAGTTCCAAATGAGTAAGAAAGTCACCTGACTTGGGTGAGAGAACTGGTAGGTCAGAATGTGGGTTCTGTGTGTAGCAGTTTTTTTCCTGAATATTATGTGTTTGGGATACAGAGAGGCAAAGGAGCTGCCAAAACCTACATTTGAAATGGTGTCTGATGGGTGCTTTGACAATGCAGCTAAAAGAGGCTAAGAACTCACCTTTGCTTCCGGCCCAGTGGAAAAGGACCAAAAGCCTTTTGTACAACTGCCTTAACCTGGGGAGTAGCTGGATTAAATGATTTGTAACATTGGCATACAGCTCAGGGAACTTACTAAAGGCACAGGCTGGGAGTAGTGTGAGGGATCTGTGCTGATACCTTCATGAGGGCTGGATTACTGCATCAGCTACATTTTTTACAGACCAAGGCAAACTATAAAATCAGATTGGAAATTCCATGAGGAAAAAACCTTAACCAAACAACTGAAGCTCTGCATTTGTGATACCAGTGGTTCATAGGGACTTTACTCAACTTCCTTCAAGGTGCTTTTCCTAAATTTGTATTTATATATGACTAAATAAAGTTTGATACTTTTGGAAATGTGATTTTTGTCTTCGCTTACAAAATCCATACAATGCAAATGTGCTATGGGAGACTAAATCTGACGGACCTGAGGGGGGTCACATTAAGCCAGGGGTGTCAAACTTCAGTCCTGGGGGGCCAGAGCCCTGTGTAGCTTAGTTCTATCCCTGTTCCACCACAAATGACTCAGCTCAATCAAGTCCATTTCTACCTTAAATTTCCATGATATCCACCCCTCAAAGCTTCAATTGCACACTAGCAAAGAATCTGAATCAACATCTTATAACAGATCCTGTTACATGCGGGGTAGGCAACCCTGATCCTGGTGTGCTGGTACCCAGCAGGTTTTCTATCATACCTAATGAGTTACCATCTGCCTGATTGCCAGTGTGCTTCATTAGAGACCAGGTAGGACAGAAAACCTGCTGGGTACCAGCACCCCAGGATCAGGGTTACCTACTCCTGCTACTACACCCTGGACCACTTCAACAGACTAACACAGTGGTTCTCAGTTCTGTTCTTGGCACCCCCCAGAATGTTTTCATTCCAGCCCTACCTTAATTAGGCGTATATGGTCTTTAATAGGCAGGGGGAGGCACCAGAACAGGATTGAGAAGCACTGGACTAACAGAATACCTGTTCTCACTGCAACATGAACAAAGTACTCACAGAAATCACTTGTAACAAGAATCCACTGGTAACAATTCACATCATTGCCCATTTTCACTTTAATTTACTCAATACCCTGCCCCTGCAGACCAGGACCAGCATTCACTCCATGCCAAACACCAACACAAGGAAAGTCAAGGAAACTGTTCATAAGAACTTTATTGTCACACCCCTAAACTCCACCACGTTTACTCCTGCAAAGAAAGAAGAGAATTATTAATTGGCAATCATGTACGAGCCAAAGAGAAGTGGCACAGCAGAGGCGCCAAAACACGGCAAGGCCACTCACAGGAGGACACTCCAGTCTGCCGCTGTTAATATCGTCAATGACATCGTGGGGGGGGCGGCCGTCGATGGTGCAGCCCACAGACTGTGCAGTGCCCAAGATCTCCTTCACTGTTCCTGTGGACAGTACACCATGCCTTCATGTCAGTCACAAACTATTTAAGTTTCAAATTTAAGTTGCGTGTGAATTTTTACACAAAAATACAGGGTAATTTTAATATCTAACCTACTGAAACAGTCAGGCAATAAAATCTGGCTGAGTATAAGAATTATGTTAAGACTTAGGACTTTAGTGGGTTGTACAAGTTAAGACTTAAGAGTTTTTTTTTTTTTTTTAACCTCAAACCCCTAGTTCTTACCAGAAAGCTCTCTGGCAATGGACCGGTTCCTCATCTGGCGAGCAATGGTAACGATCTCGTCGAAGGTCACACTGCCACTGTGCTTGACTGGGGGACAACAACCACATGCGTTCATGGGACATTCATCAGAATGGTGGACATAATAGCAATTCTCAAAATACATTAAATGCTATCCAGGGGGCCATGTTTAGGCCCCCAGAGCAGGCATGTTCCAGGCCTTTTGGCACAGAGTTGCCCATCAGTTGGGGCAGCCCTGCTTCCTAGAGCTGGGTCTATGCAGGCCCCCACTGGAGCATACCAGTCACCATGCAGGCAGGTATAGTGGCGGGGGGACTATTCTACCACTCAAGTGGTGTGAAAGTTAAATTATACAAATGTATCCCAAGGAATTCATAAGCAGCTATGGAAAATGGATCACACTCACTGTTCTTGACCTTCTTTCTGTCACGAGGAGGCTCCTTCAGGGCCTTGATGATCAGAGCCGACGCAGAGGGTACCACCTCGATCTGTTGGGAGGATGCAGATCCGTCAGACAAACTGCACAGTTGGACGACGAAACACTTGAGAGCCGAAACGGTGGTCAGGCTCCCGGAAGACATACCGCAGCCTGCCTGTTCTGGATGGTCAGCTTCACCGTGATCCTGAGGCCCTTCCAGTCACCAGTGGCCTTGGCGATGTCGTCACCCACTTTCTTGGGAGACTGGAAGGAACGGTACATTGTTCAGCAAGCTCAATTTGATGTGTGAATCTGATGATTAGTAAGAGAAGACCAAGAGGTAGAAATTGAGGAGGTTCAGCATCTCCGGGGTTGGTGGCTTGTTCCAGGTCTTTCGGCACAGAGCTGCCCACTGTGATGGAGCATCTCTGCTTCCTAGAGCTGAATAACTTTGTGTCCCCACTGGAATATGCCAATCACTGGCACAGACAGGCATAGTGGCGGGGGACATCAGCTCAAACCCCTTCTCTCACACAACGATGCTATTACAGGCACACTCACCAGACCCAAGGGACCGATTTTGGGGGCCAGAGCTGAGGTGGCACCAACTTCTCCTCCTGTGCACCTCATGTACACTGCAGAACACGTAAAACACATTAAGTTACCTGAACTCATTTCTCGGTTGTTCTATAGCAGGGTTTTCTAACCCGATCCTTGGGGGCCCACAGACATTCCATGTTTTTACTCCCTCCCAGACAGTTCACTGGGAGGGAGTAAAAGTGTGGACTGCTGTGGGTCCCCAAGGACCGGACTGGGAAACATTATTATACAATCCAAGTAGTTTTACATTAACAGTAGCAACATGAAACTCAAAAGGCTGTCAAATCTCCAGATGAGCAACTGGCATCAGGGGTAGCGTGGGGCTCAGCGGCTACATCGCCATTTTGAGCCCCAGCAGAATAATCACATCTATGAGCCCTTAACCCCCTGTTGACCCTATGCTGTGACCCCCCCCCCCCCCCCACCAAGCTTGTTCTCATCTGCATGTGTGCCCCTCTCATGGAGAGTAAGATTGGGTAGGTGAAGAGAGAATTTCCCCATGGGGATTAATAAAGTATCACTATTCTATCACTCAACTTGGCAAGGAAAAGTTCTGCAATATGCTCCAGCTTCCTCTTGCGTTCTACAAAAACCACCAACTGATCAATTCAAACATGATTGGTTCACAAATACAAACTCCACAAGAACGGCTGCTTCAGGCTTCATATTTTTGATCTAAATACATCTATTTGCTAAATATACAAAAAAAAAAAAATATTCACCAACTAAAAAGGCTTCCTTGCGTCAAACTGAACCAGTGACGCAATGCAGAATTCCCCCCCCCCATCAGCCTGTTATACCTGTGTTCTAGCATAAAACACACCAATATACAAGCTCTCTTATGGCTGCGGAACAGGAACCTGGTGAAGCCCACATAATTTAGAAAGTTCCATGATGTCCAGAACTTCAGCAGTATGGAAGTTTGGAAATCAACCTTCAGAACAGTTAATGCAACTTAAATTTAACCAGCCAGACTACAGTTTTGAAACTAATTCCCCAAAGCGGCTGCCTGGTAAAATACGAGGGTTATCATCATAAATTCAAGTCTTAGCAAGAACAGTCACCGTTGTCCACTTACCTTTCAGAGCACACTACGCACACCGACTGTAAATGTATCCCGTAAATGTTAAATGCCTTTTGCTTTTATAGATTGGGCAGTGTGTGGAAAGCTTGCCAAAAAAGCAGGTTAGCGATCCACGTTTGTGAAGTACTGCAGCTACCGGTTTACTGCGATAACTAGGCTAGACCACGCTCATATGAAACCAGGCCGCTTTGCCCCCACGTGGGATTATTTCGGAGGGTAAAACAGCCGTGCAGCCGGTCCCCCCGATGCGGTTAGACAGCCGCTAGATCCACTAGGATCATGTGCATTATATAAGATACTAAAGGCCTGGTGCTTAATGTTAGGCCTCAAAATTATCCGATATAACTATTATTGATATACAGAAACACCAATTATCACACCAATACTCAAATCAAACTCGTCACCTTACTAATGTAATATCCATCGATTTATAGATTATTATTAGTTTTATTTACAAATATTCAAATGCTAAACAAGCACCCGTCAGCGTGTACTAAGAATATCCGTGAGATTACTGCAACATTAATTACACGTACCAACTTTAACTTCAGTCGGGTCAAACTTGGGAGGCATGGTGTCGCTGTGGAAGTTGAGCTCAGACCAATTTAGGACAGGTGAGGGTGTCGGATGAACCCGGATTCGGGACGACCGAAAACAGTTGCACCTTCACCGCGTGTTACGAAAAGAAAGGAAGGCAGTACGGGCATGCTGTGCTTTACATGTGTGCAAATGTCGCGAGAACAAATACGCCATCTTTTTTGTGGCATTTCGTCCATGGAGGGCATCCATGATGTGTGTGGTTCAAAGGTGTTCGGGGACGTATCATATTGCGGTGTCAACACTGAAAACTTGAGAAACCAGAGAGAAGGAAGCAAATTTCAGTATTTCGGATGATCGTTCCGGGAACTTCAATAATAATCCAGTACCTTCAAGACTCGGTATGCTGGTTGATTGCAGGCCCGGGGTGGCCGTATGCTCTTAGAGTTCAGATTGTTTTTCCGGGTCTTCTGGATCTGTCAACTAACCAAGACCAGAAAGAGGTAACGTTGCATTGTTCATTTGGAATTCAATAGAATGTCACAGTTAGTACGAGTCACTTTCTTCCACATCAAAACATTACGTTAGTTGTATTTTTGTTGTTAATTGTGAAGTTGATTTATTTTCTTGTTTTTGTTGGCCGTAATGCTATAACGGGTACAGCTGAAATAAATATTGCACGACTGCAATAATAAACAAATGGCTCAGACAGGACAGGGCTCACCAGGAAGGCGGCTTATCAGACTCGGACCCTGGGTCATGCTGCGATACTCCGTCCACTGTCTGTTCGGGTGGCAACACCATGGCGAATATAGACGGAGATATAGACCATATCGTATTTTTTTAAATCACGGACATTGTATTTAAAAACGTTTGTCCGTGTACGGACGTAGGATAACAGTCGCTGGTGTATAACTGACTGTGGGCGTTGCTGGCATTACGTTATCATTTACGAAAAAAGGTGATTCAACATACCTGCTTGAGACATTACCAGCCTAAGGAAAAACAATAAACATACTGTTTCCTTTTTAATGCTTTTATATTTTAAAATGCTTGAAGACTTGCGCAGTGAAAGAAAAATCAGTTTAAAACGTTGCCCATCCTTCCGTAATTTACGCCGATGACCCTGGGAACCCATAGGGATTTATTTTAAATAAAGTTATGTTTGTTTGTTAAATATGTAAATGTACTCTCCTCTGCTCTAAGAGCTCCAACAGTTGTTGTGACACATATAACCTTTCCACCAGCGCCGTGACACCCCTCGGAGGTGAGGCGCCGAGGGGACAGACTGCGGGGGTTGAGACGCTCCGGCATCTAAACTCAACATGCCGCTGTTTTTCCGTAAGAAGAAGCCCAGCGATGACTCCAAAAAACGCCTGGAGTATCAGTTGTGCCTGGTGAGACTCCTAACGCTACACATCGGCACTTGCGGAGCCCCGCTTATGACTAGCTAATCCCACATCTTACGAAAATTGTGTCATTCGTGAACTATTCCTTATTTTCAACAAACATTTTGAGTGAACGAATGGATCTCTGTCACCACACTGACTCGTTAAGCTCCTTCAAAGAGTAATGTCTCGTCTACTACTGAGACGTCAGAACGTCTGAAGGAGTCAGCATGGAAAATGTGGCTTTAAGTGCAGTGTAATATATAGCAATGTGAAGTATGCAGGACTTTTATAACGTACACACTCATCAATTTAAGGTGCTGAGTCCAAGACGTAAATTAAAAAATGTTCAATACAGTTTTATTAATTATATTAGGGAGTTAAGTAAAAAAAAATACAAATGTTTAATATCGGAGTGCAGATACCGGCATGAAAATAAACACACTGACGAAGAAATACAAAGTATGGAAACCAGAAGCAAATGTTTAAATAGACAGGCATGAGGGATGCATCAAACTGTTATGCCTAGTAACATAACAGAGTTTACCATGGGAAAGTTGCTGAGATAACCATGTAAATAAACCATGGAGAAATTTCTAGCTGCTAGCCGTGTTGAAAGAAAATGTGTTGGCAAAGCAGCACCTAAAACACAAAATATACCAGCCCTAGTGGGACCCTGTCCAGAAAGTTTTAATGCCATTGATATATATGAATGTCTGGAGGGACAATGGACAGTTTTTTTTCCTGTCCGTATGATGTACATGTGATTCATTTATATTTAACTAACACTTCTATCCAAAAAGGCTTACAGTAGCGGGAAGAGGTTTAATTTATGTCTGCTCTGTCGGATTTGTTTTTGAGTTGTTAATTTTCAATATTGGGCGATCACGCAATATATGGGACCTGTGTGTCTGTGTACACGTACAGTTCTGGGAAAAATTAGGCCACAGCACAATTTTTTGTTTCACTCATTTCTCCATTTATGGGTATGCATCTGTATAAAATATAAGTTTATTTTTTTTTGCAAACTCCAGCCTGGCTTTTCCCTGCTTCACATAAATGAAGGACTTTTTCCTTGCTTTATGGGACTTTAGTCCTGCTTCTATGAGCCTTAAATGGAATGTCCTAGCAGTGCACTTCACAGTTACACTTAATGTTTCCCATTCCTTTTGAAAGTCACTTGATGTCAGCCATTGATTTATGAGAAACTGTCGGATAAGTTCAGTCTTTCTTTGGCATTAGAAATTTGCTTCCCCCTTCTACCTGGCTGGTTTCTGGTCATTCCCAGTGTCTCCTGCTTCACCTTGTTCTTGTGCACTGCTGTCTTACAAATTTTGAATCTGGAAGCAACCTGCTACTCAGTGTAGTATTCCACTAGCTGTACCAGGATTAATCCAGGCTTTAAAAATGCAGATCCCTAAAAAATATGGAGTAGTCTCTTAATTTTTCCAGAGCTGAATAATGTAAACATGCCGGTCCAGATCTTTAACTTAACTGCATGTCTGCAAAGGTTGAAAAAGATCTGTCAAATAGTTTTTGAGTTATCTCCCTAACGGGATCAAATGTCTGAAACTACCCTTTTTTGTGCTATCACAGAAAAGCTGTGACGCTGCTTCAGTTTTGGGTGACCTGTCTCAAAATTTTATCACTTCCAGTCTGTTATTCCTACAATGAAAAAGATTTATACAATACTTTTAGAGATGCTGTATTCACAAGACCACATGTCTTTTACGGCTGCCATGTCCTGTCACACAGCATTCTCTAAAGGCTGGGGAATGCAGTTAGCAGAATACATGTTCCTGTAACTTTTCTAGATGAATGGATGAACAGCAAGACATTAAAATCATAATTATTGATTAAAGATGCTGCACACAGAAAGCGATGGCAGTCTGTGTTTTTCCTCTCGAGACAGTTTCCTGTATTTAACAGCTTCTCTCCCCTCCCCCCCCCCCCCCCCCGTGCCCCTTCCCATGAAAATAATCTGGTTCCACCCCCTGCCTGCCTACTTAATGGAGGCATCTGATGTTACATCATAAACAAAACTGATCTCTCCCGTAGTGCATAGGACTGAAATGCTCTTTCTCTCTTTGTGAAGTCTAAAGAGGCCGGGGCTGACGATATCTTGGACATATCGGCCTGTGAGCTGACAGAGGTGAGCAGACCATCTGTGTAATATAGTAGACTCTCTTTTCTAAAGCAAGAGTCATTGCGCAATGTGTATTATTGTAAATAATAGATGTGGATTGAGTTTCTGCATTAAAAATCCATAGAGAATACCACAAAGAAAGTTAGTGTCCTTAGTATTGTAGGCATTAGATTTTGGTGCACTGTTTGTAGGTTGATGTTTACTTGATACTGTCTACAAACCTAATGTCAGGGCAGGGTTTCAGTTGTAAGGACAGCATTTAGTGCAGCTTGTTGTACATATCGGGGTGTTTCTCAATATGCGTACTTGACCGCACTTGTGTTCTCGTGTACCTGTTTTATGTCTTCTTCCATTGCCAAAGACCAGTTCCAATACTCAAGATCCCTGGATGTTGTTCTTGCCCCACCCCAAATATCAAGGGCACATCAGTTGCCACATCGCCAAAGGAGACCAATCCCATGATTCATTGCACCCCAAGTTCGTTCTTGGGAGGCAAGTTAGCAAGACCGGTCTTGCCAAGACCACAAGTACGGTCTTTGCATTTTTGGTATAGAAAAACTCCCCCGGTCTTTTAGTTTAGTGGCCCTGTTGCCTCATTGGCTTGATGTAGTAATGTAGATTAGGGTCTAAGGTCAGTGCCTTACCTGATATTGTTTGTATGGCCTCCCTCAGGTGCCGTCCACAGCCCTTTCCATATGCAAGGTCCTGCAAAAGAAGGTAAGGTTAGAGAGCCTTGGACAGAGCTACTGCATTGTGGGGTTTAAAGTGTTCTTTACTGGCTGTTTAGATATTCATTTCCGCACAGTGTGTATGTAATCTTCTGACACCATCTCACTATATGCAGGTCTTCATCCTTCATGGAAATGAACTGAAAGCTCTCCTGCCCAAAGGATGCTCCATCACCTCACTGGCCACCCTCAAGGTCCTTGGGATCAAACCAATTTTATTTACTTTAAAGTTCCAGATATTGGTATTCTCTTCAAGTTTGAGCTGAACAGTCCAGGGCGACTCACGTACCTTTGTATAGACATTTGTGTAGCTAGTTGAGGCTACAATAGCTAATCTTTCCTCATGAGACGCAAAACTTAACTTTATGGTTTGCCAGTTTAATGTTAACCAGTCCCTACTGGCCAGACGCATGTTTCATTCTTCAGTAAGGTATTTTTTTCCACAGAGGGAGATTTCTCATTTGATTGATCTACTTAAACACTTTTAAAATAAATTGATTAATCATTGCTCATCTTTTTGATATTCCTAGGTTCTGGACCTCCATGAGAACCATCTGACATCACTTCCAGAAGACATTGGACAGCTGAAGATGTTGCAGGTCCGAATATAATCTCATCAGGTTCCATCAGCCAGAACAGTTCAACAGTAAAGAAGGTGACTGATGACATGCTGCTTTATCATCGGAGGATCTCCCGTTTGTCATCCTAGGTGCTCAATGCTGAAAAGAACCAAATCAAGGTACTCCCAGAATCCATTGGGGATCTTCACCTTCTGCAGACGCTTAACATGAAGAGTAAGTACTGGAGGGACACGATGCAGAATCAGAATAATGAAAAATGATGGTCGGTCATATTGAGTTGAGTCCAGCAAGGATGAAATTTTATAGCGAGCCATCCCCTGTGAATTACTGAATTATAGACTGGGTGAAGGACAAGTGTGTTTACAGAACAGATGGATGAATCGATGGATGAATGTCATATTACATGAAAGAGATGGTGACTGTGTCTTTTGAGCTTGATTTTCAGAACCGCCCCATTCATGCTTGGCCAGAAGCACCTGTAATGTCATTACACTTAATGGATCTCAGAGTTATGATTCTCCTGATCTCTTAAAATCATTGCATACAGTTTGCTTTGGGATAATAAGTCTTCTGATTCTGATACTGGCACTTTGTTATCAGACAAGCTTAGTTTTTTTGAGGGCGGACCTTTAGGTGGTGAACCTAGATCAGTTTATTCATTTCCTGTTAGGGAAGCTTGCGGTTAGGCATGGATCGTGGCAATCTGATTCGGGATCAGTGTTCATGTCAGGCCCCCTGTCTGCAGGTAACCTCCTGAGTGAGCTGCCCTCTACCTTGGGCGGCCTGTCTAGCCTGCGCACACTGGACATCAGTGAGAACCAGGTGTGGGAGCTGCCCATGGCGCTGGCACACATTCGGACCCTGGAGGTGAGTTTTAATGTCTGGGGGGGGGGACTTTGAGGAGCTTCCAAATTTTTAAAGAGAAAGCACTAGTACTGTTGTACTGAAGCATCGCCTTACTCTAATGCATGACTGGGAAACACCCAGCCTGCAAGACAGTTTGATTTGACCCTGAGGCATCTCAAAAATACAACAAAATAGCGCAGTATTCCAATTTTTAAAAATCCAATTTTTAAAAAACTGTCATAGTATAAATAACACACCACTATATGAATAAAAGTTGACTTTAAAAAAAAAAAAACAGATCAGTAGCATCAGCCCTTGCCCCACACATCCATCACCATAGCACTGCTTCTTGTGTAATCTGAGCAAAGGAATGAACATTCAGCTATCTCAGTAAAACTAATTCCCATCTCAATTTTACGTTGTTGCGTCAGAGTGGAAGAATCAAATGGCAGAGACTAAATAAAGACGACTCTACTAATGCTGTCCAGTGGCCGGGGGTTTAAACACAGCAGAAAATGTTACCACTGTCTGCCATGAATCTTTGCGTGTAACTTATTATGTTTTTTAGAATTGATACCAGTATCACAAAATATAATTCACAAGAGGCTCAGTTAGCATGGCCCTTGAAGGATGTTCAAATGGTTCCCGATGGAAACAAGCCCCCCCCCCCCCGTTCTAATGCCTAATCTACAACAGGAGGCCACAGAGCCAATCTTGCTTCTCTAAAAGTCTGGTAACTGACTATTAGTAAAAATCCACTGCTGTCTTCAGTTACTCTCAGGATTCTACTAACTGCCTCAGTAGGAAGCTACAGTTAAACACTCGTGAAAGACACAACAGTAAGTCCTGCTGGGATTTGGACCGGTGGATTTCAGGCAGTTAGGCGTGAACACGGTAAGGCGGAAGCCAACCTGCCAGGCTCTGGGCTTGGTGTGAGATACCCGGCTCTATCATCGTGCAAATTGTGAAAACTAAGTGGTGCAGCTCATGCGAGTCACAAACAGACTTTGAGTTTGGACCTGTGCTGTGTGTTCTGGACAGTGCCTCACGCTGGATGCCGCCCAGATGACGTTCCCGCCCGTGTCCATCTGCAGCGGGGGCACTGAGGACATTCAGCGCTTCCTGTGTGCGGGTGAGGGCCTGGGGGGGCTGGGAAGCTGGGCACTTTTGGTGGGATGCCATGTGCCTGGTGTAGCTCTCATAAACATGGAGGATTACGGAGAATTGCCGTTCATCAGTCAGTCTGCTTCCTTGGCTGGCTTTATATACAAGAGCGGAAAATGACAGAATGATCAGACCTGACATATGACTGCCTCTTTATGAATGAACCTGCATAGATTTGAATCTTGGGTCTTGAATTCTAATGTGGCTTTGCAGTAGTGTTGTCAAAAGTATCGAAAGTACAGAAAGTATCAATTCTATTGGGTAATAAAATGGTTTCAATGCTCATTGTTTATGGTATTGATTTGAACAGCCTGCACTTCTGGTTCGCTCTGACCACTGAGGCTTGTAGGTATATGCTTGTAGGTATATGCTCTTGCCTAGACCTGAGTGCAGTCTCACACACAGGGACTTTGTCCCATTTTTCCCACCAAGAACAAACTTGCACAGACTGCCGGCATCAGAGCACAACATGGCCTCCTAAGAAGTTTCAGTTTAAATGTTGTGTAACTAATGTTTACATAGTCTAGGCCAGGGGCAGACAATCTTATCCAGAAAGGGCCGGTGTGTATGCTTGGTTCTCGCTGCAGCTCCTTAATTGGATTACTGATTAGAGGACTGATTGGCTGAAGAGTCCTCATACCTGGGTTTGAACAGCTGACCTAAAGGTCATCCCAAAATCCTGCATACACACCGGCCCTTTGCGGATAAGATTGCCCACCCCTGGTCTAGGCACTTGGGCTCGTCACATACACTTGTGCACTTTGCATCTTACGTCAACATCCGTCACCAAAGTGTGTAGGATCTCCGTGTGCTCGCACTTAAGAGGGGTGAATGGGACGAAGGCGGGGTGTTACTTAAGATGAGTAGTTCAGAAGTGGTTTTCATCACTGCACTTTATCAATATATCGAGACCAGAGTGATGTCTGAAAATGTTGTCTTTGTGTTAAGTGACGACAGTAAACCACAGGACATACGCAGTCCTGTATGCAAGCTGTGCCACCGCGCAATGCTGACAAAGGGAGCAAACACCACAAACTTATCTAATCATTTAAATCTGAATGAATTAAATATTAATCTGTCTCAGCCTCTTACGGTTGAAGTAGAGATGTGACTCTTTTCTACGGGTTAAGACATTTTTTGTACGTAGTTTGTTAAACATTTCCACATTAAGACAAGTCTGCAGTTTTTTTTTTTACCTGTCAGTCGTTCGGTCTTGTGAGGTTGTGTTGATTAGTGCTGATCATTCAGGTACAAACGTTTTTTATGTCATGCAATTGTTAGAAGTGTTTGTGCTTTGAGACACAAGATAAAGGTGTGTAAAAGTAATATATATATCTGTTCTGTTATGCATTATAATAATTATATAAAAAAACATTTAACTGTTAATAGTGTTTAATTATTTTTTGCTGTTGAATATCTCTGAATGTGGTTGTTATTGCTGCTCCTTTGCTTAATTTTATTGTGCTTTGACTGACATTGCAATGCAATTTTTTAAGATGTGATATGAGTTTACAAAAGTTTGTAAAATTTTTACTGCAACAAAATTGCAATAATTTTTTTATTGAGTTACATTATTTACTGTGTGTCAAATGGTATCAAATTTCCATACCTTTCTTGGTATCGTATTACAGGTTGAATTTTGGTATTGTGACAACACTATTTTGCGGTCCTGCAACTTTCATGCATTTTTAGCATGAAAATTTGAATGCAGCCTGGTTACTAGGGTGTGATGTACAAATGGGTTCCTCACAAGTTAAAATGATTGTCCTCTTTGATCCTGGTTCGCTGTTTTATCATCTGGGTCTCATTAGCAGTCCCCCAACATCGCCCCCTCCAATTCTGTCTGTCTGCAGGGATCGGTGTGGAATACTGTCCCCCCTCTCAGTACCTCTTGCCAGTTCTGGAGAATGATAGGGGGCTGCTGGAGGATGATTGCGTGGATGGGGAGCAGGACGCTTGGCAGGTGGGGGCCCATGATCCTGTAAGAATTCTGGGACCTGGGGGATTTTACTTTAAGATTCACCATTTCCTCTGTTTTTCTCTGTTTATAGAATAAATTCCAGGACTACGCCAAGAGGAAGGTAGGCTTTCTATTAATCAATAACAACTGTCCTGACTCCAGGCCTGCGGATATGATGCTGGCCGTGATCAGGGAGGTCTGACCTCTGACCCCTTCCTTCAGGAGCAGAAGCAGCAGGAGAAGCTGGAGTTCGAGCGGCGGCTTGAGGAGGAGCAGCGGGAGCACGCGCATCTCCTCCACCTCAACAACTTCCGCAAGGATGACATCCTGCAGTCAGTCAGGCAGGTGAGCCCTGCCCTGATTGGCCCTACTCACCCCTGCTTAAGCACACCCATCTGTAAATAACTCCACCCACTCTAACATATCCCCGCCTATTCCACCTCAGCCCCGCCCCCTTTGCTCTGCCCCACTCCTCCAAGAATAGAATTATGAGAAGCTGCACTACTCATGAGACATATGGTCTCCTACTCGCATTGTAAAGAAGTTTATATTACATTAAGTAGTTAAAATTCTCCAGTGAAATATCCCGCTTCAGCTGATTAAGATCTGTGCCCCGTGTTGGTCCTGCGGTCCCCAGGAGCAGGAGCGGCTGGAGCAGGGCGTGTCCCAACAGCAGAGGGCGCTAGAGGCTGAAAGGTTACGCCTGCTGGGACAGCTCAAGTTGGCAGAGAACAACCTCACCTGCCGCATTGCACACCTGCTCCAGGAGAACAAGAGGTGCGTATGTGTGCGTGTGCGTACGTGTCTGTGTGTATTCCCGTGTGTCTGCTTCAGTCACTGCTCTAGTGTATTGTGTCTGTTCTCGATCTCTAATGGCTGTTAATGTCCTGTCGAAGTGTGGTGTTTTGCGTGGTGGCGTTGATTATCGGTAGTTTATAAGATGGCAGCGAGTGGGGGTGTTTTAAACATTGTCTTGTTCCTGTTCTAGTCAGAAGAAGAGCATGGAGTTCCTGCAGGCCCTGGAAGAGGACCGGTAAGAGGCTGAAGCAGGGACCATTCTAGGATTTTTGAAGGTGGGATGCAGAAGAGGGTCCATAATTCATACAGACGGGTCAATCCTAGCCAATGATATTTTTGGAATCTGTGACTGACAGGGAAAGGAGCACTCTGGGGACCAATCAGCTATTAGTGCACCTGTAGCCCTGCCCTCGAAGGGTGGAAACTGCCAAACCAATTCTGGGCTCTGACCTTTAGAGATGCTTTGCTAGCTGAAGACTCCTCTCTCACTCCCTAACCCACAGGATACGTTTAGAGCAGCTAACCTCCATCACCCAGGAGGAGGCCAACTCCCTACGCAAGAAAGAGGTGGCAGGTGAGCCACAATAACGCCTTTGGGGGCACCAGCTTACTGTATATGTTTTATGATGCATGGGGCTCAAGTAGGGAAGTTTGAAATTTTGGTTAAGCCCAGTAAATAGTTCCACACAATCTACATGTTAAGACTACAGCAAACTGAAACTTAAATGAAGAATTATGCCTGAAATGTCTTCCTGGACTCTGAACTAGCAACCTTTTAGTCCAAGTTCAGCCCCTGACCACTTTGATACTTGCGCCTGGATATAAATTACCTATATGGTTATATTGCGTTTTTTGTTGCATTTTAGTATTCATTTTATCTGAAAATAAGTAACGAGAAGAAATGGAGGTCTGCCAATTAAACAGATAGCCAGTAGGTGGTGTAGCAGTTAGTCACTGCATAGCTTCAGATTCTCAGGGGGACGATATAAATGTATTGAACCTAAACTGGTGACTCTCTCTTTCCCTGTAACCCCTTTTGTCCTGTAGCCGCGATGCAGCAGATGCTGTCAGAGAGCTACTCAATGCACCTCCTGCAGGAGGCGAACGAGGTCCGCAGGCACAACCTAGTGACAGAAGCGTGCAGGAGGTATGAGCCCCGGGCGGGACTTGGCAGCCGAGCGGTTTGGAGCATGTGGCGCCCCCTGGAGCTTCGCTGGAGCATTGCCTGCTTTCCCAGTGTGCCGAGCGTGATCGTCAGCCAGCACTTATGAGCTCTGTGTTGCACCTCATGCCACTTGTGGTGCATTAGATCACAGCACAGTGGGGTTGAGTGTAAAATTCACTTTGGGGCTGGTTATTGCTGGGCGTAACCCTTTATCTCAACCTGTTAATGACTCGCTGACCTCATGCGTGGGCCTTGGTGAGAGAGACATAAGGCAGCAGGCTGAACTTTAAAGAGGGTGCAAAATTAATCCTGTGCCTGAGAAACCCGGCATCTGAATTCTTAAAATCACTTCGAATTGTTCAGTCGGCCGTGATGTAATGGACCAGGAAGTGATGTAATACAGAATGAGGTAACCGACATGCGGGCCAGTGAAGATCCCAAGGGGGTGGAGTCATTCTATAGCACATTCTCACTCTCACTATCCACCTACTCTGCAGTTTGGAGAGTTTGGATAAGAAGTTTGACCAGGTGCTGTCCCTGCAGCAGCTCGACAAAACCAAGGCCATCGCTCATATTCTGCAAGAGGTACAGGCACAGATATGCCGGCAGACACGCACACACAGCGCACTGGGCACCTGCTCTTCCTGTTGGTCATTACCAGTCATGGGGCAGCCCCCCTGGTCCCACCTCTGTGCTGTGACAGAGGGGCCACAGTCACATCATGGGGTGTGTTATTAAAATAGTGCTTCTTCCCAAGTTTAACAAGCTATACCCTCTTACAAATGACAGAAACATACTGTGGAACTGGAAAAATATTATGGGTGTGTCTGAAATCGCATACTTGTTTGCTGTGTAGTAGGTGAAATATAGTATGCGACATGAGCAGTATGTCTGAATCCAATGGATGCTACACTATCCCATAAGGCCACAGGAGCAGCAGCCAGAGATCAAGAACATTTCGTATTCAGAAATTTGTTGTCAAGATGGTGGAGGGAGAGGCATCTCTGTATAGATATAACTAGAAAATAGTGACCACTTACATAAGTCGACTCGTATGTATTTATCCATTGATAAGTTTTAATAGTTTTTGAGTTTTGGGGGTCGAAGTACGTCATTGGTAAACATCCAGGTCAGGTAATATACGAGATGACAGCTGCAGTGTGCATGCATACTGTTCTCATGTGTACTTACTGTGTTTGTATGCACTACATTAACAGTTGAGTAGTAGGCTTCTGATGAAATTCAGTACCTACTGCAGGGGTGCCCAACTCCAGTCCTGGAGGGCCGGAGCCCTGCACATTTTTGGGTTTCCCCTCATTTAACACACCTGATTGAACTCCTTGTGCTAATTACCACACAGCTCTTGAGCTGAATCATTTATGGTGGAACAGGGAAAGAACTAAGCTACACAGGGCTCCGGCCCCCCAGGACTGGAATTGGGCAGCCCTGACCTACTGTATAAGTGTACAATTTCAGATGCACCCCCTATTACTATCATACTGATAGTAGCTTCTAACTATAGTGTCCCAGGCAACCAAAATAACATTTTAGGTGAAATTCCAGGATCAGTTTTACTTATAAATGAAGCAGATGGACATCTGTCACCATGGTGACCGTGTCTGAGTCACATGTCACAGGATTCCTGAATTATCGCCCCCTGCAGGAGGAGATGCAGAAGGCAGCGTTTCAGGCATTGCAGCTACAGAAGGACAGCATGCATGGCTTCATCAGGAGCCAGGTAGGCGTGTCAGCACTGCCCATGGGGCATGGGGGGCGTGGGGGGCGAGGGCCCGATGGTCTACACACAGGTTGCAACATAATGTACGAGAGAATTGTCACGTCCTGGAGACGTCTGGGTGGGACGGTGACTATGAAGAGACGGCACATGGACCATGCCCATCCTCCCACCTCACCCGGGAAGGGAGGGGTCGGGTGGGGAAGGGGGAGGATCCATCCCCTACACCTCCACACATTGCTTATCAGTTCTCATTGGTGCGTTTTTGTTTTTTGCTCTCCTTATCCCGTCAGCTGGTCTCTGCGGCTCCTCTCTTGCCTCCTGGATTTTTTACCTTTTAATACAGTTAAAGGTCTTAGGGAAGCTTGTATTTCTGGCTATTAGCCTTAACCATAAACTTGCCAGATTAGCTTAACTCACAAATTTAAGCACCAATGAATGTGAGTCTACAGTAGTTGCAGTTGTGTCCACACCAAAATGTGAAAAAGTACATGAGACACTGCTATGGAACTTACCCTCCCTTTACAACAGTGCCCCCCTGTGGTCACATCAGGATCATTCACACCTTGTATTTTCATGTTTCTAGATTAGGCTAATAGAAGCTGAGTTAATGCAGCTGACTAAACTGGAGGTAAAGCGACGCAATCTGGATACCGAGAATTTGCAGGTATGTGTTAGGGCGGGGCTTGTGGACTAACCACCAATCTGTGTTCCCTTTGGTCAAAGACGGGGCAGCATTGGCTGCCAGCTGCATCACCTGTATGGTTATGTGTGCTTCCCATATTCAAATGTGGTCAGATGAAGGTCACAGGTACAGAGGCTCTTCATAAATAGTGTAGGATCTCTGTTGCACAGTCACAAACACAGGGCAGGATGTGCATACAGAAAATCCTAATGTGAAGGTTCAGATTCTTGTGTTAATAAAGGTGGCAATTATTGTAATGTACCTCTGTGTCACCTAACTGCCCCACACTGTCCTTATTTGCTGTTCCCTGCTTAGCTGAGTGTCATTTTGCTCTCCATCACTGGCTATTTCTTCGCTCCATTGCACTTCTTCATCACAACACAGGGGTACCATCATCACATTAACTGACTGATTCACCGCGGGTGAGGGTTTCCAAACCCCCAAGACTGGACTACACACACAGCCCCATGTGCCTGTCACCTGGGAGCCATGGTCGATTTTGTCCTTATAACCCAGCAAACATAGGATGCTAGCCCCTTGCGAGATATGGCTTCCTTCCTGGCTCGTGTGCTTAGAGGGTGCCCGGAAGGGCGCCACCCTCTGGCAGCTTGTGGAACTAACCGCTGTCCACGTGCCTGCCTATGCAGGAGATCCTGAGTGAGCAGCGGGTCGCCCTGACGGACCTGCTGCAGCAGCTTCTCAAACAGAAGGACCAGCGGGAGGTAGAACTCAGACACATCCTGGTGAGTGGGGGGGAGGGGCTGTTTGGGGAGGGACTGCACTGAGGTGTGGGGATAGGTATCTGATAGGGAATGAGGTGAGGGGCACCATTTGAAACAAAGATGGGAGGTGGGGGGGGGGCAGGGATTCTAAGCCAGGGAGGGTAGCGGGTGGGATTGCCCTGCATTATCCTGTCAGTCAGGAACTGCTTCCACCTATTTCCTGTAAAAGAATTTGATTGTCAGCTGACATGGAATTGCATGTTTCGTGCATCAGGATCCCGGAAGCTGGAATTCTGGATGGATGTTTAATTTTTCCGATCAGCCGTAAGTTAACGCTGTCATTGACGAGCGCTTCTGCCCGGCAGGCGGAGCTAGAGATGAAGAGTGAGTCCAACCAACAGAACTACTGGATGATTCAGTACCAGAGGCTCCTGGATGCCAAGCCGCTGTCACTGCGCATGCAGGTCGGTCCAGCGCTGCCTGGGCATACTGATGGTCTGATGGTGAAAAGGAGTGTGTTCTCTTAGCTTCCACCAGAGGGCAGAGTTAACCTGTTATTATATGTATTTTTAGAAGCCCAGATTTGGAACTGTTTATATGTGATTGCTTGCATTTTCATTGAGCAAATGAGTCTGCAGCTCAGGTAGTACCATTAGCTTCTTAGTTAGAGTGATTTTGATCCCAGACAGTCATCCAGTGTTATTAGAATAGTGTTGCTGATAAATCATTACATTTAACCTCTCCAACCCTAATCCTATTTCTTCTGTCACACTGACTCCACCTGACCCCGTGTGCGTCTCTTATCGGATCTCACCTCCGCTGCAACCCCAGGAGGCTGGAGTGGAGCAGGGGCTGGTGTCTCTGCTGTGCAAGCTGTCTGCGGAGCACTACCTCCCGGTGATCGCTCACCACCGCCTGACCGCCGAGGCCCTACGTCACATGACCACGGCCGATCTGGCCAAGGTGCTGCCTGCGTCTCGCTGCACTGGCGATGCTTATGATGATGAACATGTTACTGTTTTGTCGCTTTCCTGTGGTACCTGCTCGTCTTCTCTGACACCTTGGGTAATGTCTGCATCTGCAACTGCAGCTGGGAATCAGAGAGGTTGGGATCCAGAAGGCTCTTCTCAGCTGGTGCCGAACACAGGAAGTCTCTCCCGCTAAAGGTGCTGGTTAATCACTAGTTATCCAACAGCTCAGACAAAGGAGATGCTAGCTTCCCTGTTCTCCTGGTGGTCATACGTATTGGGGCGGTGCGTGTATGTTTGTGTGGCTCGGGGCTCATGCCATGTCGACCTCACTCCACTCGCCTTCCCACCCTACAGCTGCCCAGCCTGCAGATGCAGGTGCCAGCCCCCTTGCACCCAGCGCCCCCCCCCTCCTGTCACCAGAAACCCAGGTGCTGCCGTGCCTCCCTGGCCAGGCGGTGGCGGAGGTCCCCTCGGCCCCCAAGCTCCAGGATGAGGCACCCGGGAGCTCGGAGTGTGTTGTATGCATGGAGATTCAGGTAAATGCCAGACGGGGCCTACATTCCCACCAGCATGAAACCACAACAGAGTTTGACATTATTAACGATGACCAAAAGGACACTTCATGAACCATTTGTGGTATTTTTTGATCCCCATTAGATGGTGCTTTTGGCTTGCTTTTTGAGCCCTTTTATGAACAGACAGCACCATCTAGTGGGGTGAAAAAAATACAGCAAATGGTTCATTTTACGATTTATTATTTTACGGTAACCCTCTTCCTTGGTTGTGAAACAGCAGGGCTTCCCTGGGACTTGAATTTTTGTTTTAATTATTGCCTGAATAATTACACTAATAAAGTAATTAAAGTGTGAGGCAGACAGGGAATGTAGCCCGCGTGTGGTCCCTGAGGACCAGGGATCCGACGGGGCTCTCGGCTTGTTGGTTGACTTGGTCTCTCTCTCGCTTGCGTCATCCCAGTCCCAGGTGGTCTTCTTGCCTTGCGGCCACGTGTGCTGCTGCCAGACGTGCAGCGATGTCCTGCAGAGCTGCCCCCTCTGCCGCAGCCACATCTCCCAGCGCGTCCGCATCTACCACCACTAGGGGGCGTCACATGTCCCCCACACATGCTGCTTGCCATTCTGCTATGAGGAAACCGCTCGCCCAAAGATGGAATAACAAAACCCAGCAAGATCTCAAACCCTGTGCCTTTACCCTATCATGCATTAATCTTGCTGACTGGTCAATGTGAGTGATTGACTTCCTAATGAAGGTTTCGTGGTTTTGCTGGCCTGGTGAATCCTGTAGCCTGGTTCCTGGCACTGCCCTTGCCACTCCTGGATCTGGGTGGTGCTCCCCTTCTCAGCAGCATAGGGTCCGTGGAGCACTTCAGACCTGAACTTACTGGGATAGTAAGGCGCCCCCTGCTGGCTGCCTGTTGGATGGTCATCACAGCCGTTGGCCTGGCGAATTCTCCCCCACAGCCACTGCTGTCACCTCTACACATCTCAGAACTCGCAGGAATTTTGCTCGTGTAAAGCTCCTGAGCTGTGTTTTTTACATCCATGGCTCAAGGTGTAGGATGTTTCTGGTCAGTGTATCATAGACATTTTCACAGGTGCATATTGCATGGAAACCATTCAACCGCAATGAAATATTAATCACAGTAAATAATGTTAGTCTCTGTCAGATTACCGTAATTGTCCAAGTGGTCCAGTCTCTCGTGTCGGTTATTTCAACAGTGCCTGATGATGAAATCTTTGATGGTATCATACCGAACTCTGTCTTCTTATTGAATATGCAAATGGCCTCCTGATTGATATGGTATACACGTGATTGGTTTCAGAATAAAGTCTCTGTGTAGTGTGTTGTACAGTACTCTTTCTGTGTTGTTTTGGTGGCGATCTGTACACTGGACATGTTTCATTAACATTTCAAACAAACATGAAAACTAAATACTGATAAATTTTCCACATTAAGTAAATGGTACATCAGTCTCGGACAAAGGATGACATGAGCCAAACACTGATACACAGAAATGCTTTACTAACGACGGTCCTCAATTAAACATCCCATAACACAGGCTTGAGCTATTAAACCAGAAAACCAGCTTTGAAAGGCCACTTCCAAAATTTGGCCATTTTTTATCTGGGGCAAGAAAACACTGAGCAAAGCTACGGGCCACATGAGACAACCAACTGCTTTGACATAGTGTTGATATAGTTTGATATAGCGAGGTTTCAGTCAATGCCTGAGATTTACTGTGTTCCTAGGTGTCATTATCTTACGCACTTATCACTTTTAATTAATGCTTCACTCCTAATACTGCTCACTCTTTGCACATTTCTCAGGTCTACTTAAGCTGCAGTCACCATTGGCTCCCCAGGAAGGTCATACTAGCCGCCTCTATAAATTTCTCCAATCATGATGCTGCTTCCTGGTCTGTGAGCCCTCCCACTACATCCCCCTCTTGCAGTAAGTGATGCGTACTGCTCTGAATCCTAAAGATGCAATTGGTTGGATCGGGGGGGCATATGACCTGATTGGTCAAATGCTATTGCTGTCATGGCCCCATTACTCCAGTCAGGTCTGGTATTGGCTATTCATCCCATGTTCCAGTTGACACTGCAGCACTCCCTTCTTCTGATTGGTGGTTTTGCCCATCAATCACCTGGATACAGCCCTTGCTCATCTGAGGGGCCTGCAAATTCTCCTCGGTCTCTCCAACTGCCTGTCTACCATTCAAACTCTGCTGAGGGCCGCCAAGGGATTCCTGATCTTCCTCTGCATGTTGATGCACCTCCCCAGAAGATTTTAGTCCCTCCTCTTCCTCACCAGCGATTTCAGGCTGATCTGGTGACACCTGAGCGTCAGCCAGAACCTGCAGTGTGACACTCTGAGGGGACAAACATTTGACACTTTTACCACACAAGGAAACAATGTACCGGTCTCAAATTGTCACGAAGGAATATAACCCTAAGAACGCTCATGAAGCAGTTTCAAAGAGGAAAACAGCTTGTAGCAAAGAGATAGGGGAAAGCAACAGGGTTGTGGTCATTCCGGAACGCATTCATCAATTCCAATCCAAATCAGGAAAGGGAACTGGAGTTGGAATTTAAATCTCCCTGAATTCAAATTCATTGCCAGTTCTGTTCCCCATAGTTTTTTTTTTCCAATCCCAACTCCAGTTCCATTTCCTGATCTGGATTGGAATTGATGAATGCATTCTGGAATGACCCCAACCCCTGGCAAGCAACTATCTGGGGCCTTTTTCCGGTGGTTTTCTGGGCAGTACCTTGATGATGCGAGCGACAGCCCCCATCACAGCCTGCCCACTGTAGGTTTCCTGGGGGTCAAACTCCCCCCGCAGGGTGCGAAACACACTATTCATCACACACTTCACCTAGCCAAGAGGGAGACAGAACCACAGGGACAGCGATAAAATGTGTGTATATACCAACTCACTACAGAGTCAACATATCAGATTCATTTTTGTCATTTTGTCAGGGAAAAAACTTTGATAAAAACGACCATGTGAGAGATTACCGTGTCCCTTAGTCTCCGGGGCTCTGTCCTCTGCGCTTGCTGCCACGGCGGCTGCTCTACCAGCTCACACTCATCACACACCTCCTGCTGGTCAAGGAAGAGAGAGGTCAGTACATGCTTTTGTTCACTAGGACCAGTGGTGTACTAGCAAACGAGGGGGTTAGGGTACAAATGCCTTCACAGGCTGAATCACTATTTCTTTATTTACTTGTATTCATTTATCAGACAGTTTTACCCAAAGCAATTTACAATTGAGAGAAAGATTACAGTTTATGTGGGTTCCCTGGCATTCAAACCCACAGTCTTTGCACTGTTTGCACAATGGAGCTCACAACACATGCAAAACAAGGAGGGGCTGGACCACATGAGTGGATTCCCAGCGCACCATTTCCAGACGCAGCCTGTCTACCCTCAGCCCTGGTAGCTCCGCCTCCAAGCCGCGCACGCTGCATTCCACCTCCAGGTGGCGCTGTTTCTCGGCCGAGTGCTGTGCTCGCATCAGTGCCACTCTGTCTTTCAGCTCTGCAAACAGTGGCATGGGATCTCATGAACTCCGTGACATGAGACCGCCAAGGCGCAGCTTTTAATTCCACATACCTATGACCTGCACTTCTAGTGAGGCAAGCTGGGTTGAATTTCTATCGTCCTGCAGGGCGGCGCTCAACTTAGCCTCTAGCTCTGCAGATTTCTGTTGGTGAACTGTGACCTCCTGCTGCAGCTGAGACAGGCGTAAGGTGGAGGATGCCAGCTCCCCTGTCAACCACACCTGGGCAGCAGCGACGAGCAGGAGACACACACAAACCATGAGTACTGAGAGCCCTGTGTGTCTAACATGAGCTGCCCCCACCCGTTGTACCTTGTCCCTTTCAGCTTGCAGCAGGCGCGCCCGACCCTGGTCGCTGGCCACCTGGAATGACTTGTTCCTCTCCTCCAGCAGCAGAATGTTCTGCTCCAGGTACCTTTGAGAGCATCAATGAGAAGATATGGACAGTCACACCAGTGACCAAGCAGATCTATCAGGTATGAAGAGAGGTGATATTTCATAGCGGTATTGTGGCTGGCAGACAGGGTTGTATACAAGGGGTGGGGCCACATGGGGTGGGGCCATGGGGCACTGGCCCATCTGAAAGTCGATTGGCCCCCCAGAGTGTTCCCTCCCCTCTTACACACAGATTCAAAATATATAATTGGCTATTGGTAAGGTTGGCTGCTCTATATGAATTATGGCCCCTCTTATGCCCCCCACCTAAAAAAAATCCTGGAATCAGCCATGCTGATGGGGGTGATTCTTTGTGTAAGACCCTTAACACCAATCACTCGAAAGATAATGGATGCTAATTGACCACAAAACCTGCCCGTTATTTTGACATAGTGGGGACCGTTCTTTTAGTCCCCACAAGGGGAAACTCAACTTCATAGAAGTCTGGGACTGCAATCTAAAAAGTACAATATTAAAAAAATCTTGTATTTTGTTTGGTTACTTATGGTCAAGGTTATGGCTGGGTATGAGTTACGATTAGGGTTAGGGTTATCCCAATAAAAATGAATGGAGAGTCCCCACAATGATAGGAATATATACAGTATGTGCATGTGTGTGTGTTTCACCTGCCTCTGGTTCTGGTGGATCAGCTCCCTGATCTTCATGTTCTGCTCTGTGACACGCAAGTTCTTCTCGGACACATCCTTCTTCAGACCTTCATTCTCCTTATGGGACACAGGGAGAGTCAGGTCTCAGGGTGACACTTGATCGCTCATTCCGACGAGGGGACGTCCTCACCATCCCAGGCATGGGGTGTGGTGATATTCACCTGGATGATCTTCTGGATGCTGTGCAGCAGTGCAGGCGTCTCCAAGGAAACAGCAGGCATGCCTAGCAACAGGCTTCCCTGCTTTTGAAGGCTCTCCACCTAGCAACAAACTGGGTTGAAAAACAGCAGAACAGAACCGGATTGAACAGCATGCAAAACAGAGTGATTCTTAATCACAAACCTTTGAGGCCAATTGGTCAATTCTGTCTTTCACTCTCCCGACAGCCTGTCGCATTTCTGTGTTCTGCTGCCAGGCCTCAGTCATCAAGAAAGAAGTGACATCACAAGCTGTGGGCAGGTGAGGCATTGACCTTTAGGTTTAATGGAATGGTTCACTGGAAAGAGGTCTTTGACGGTGCTGGTGATAGAACAGCGATATGCAGTGCTCACAGATAGTCTTGGGGTGCTCGTTTAATTCAGTAAAAACGCTCCAAATGTACTTGTTTCATAAAAAAGGTCCTGTGACAAGCAATGTTTAACACATCTGCACTTATTTTCCACACAGGCATTTTCTTTTTATTGTCAGTTTTTTGACTGACTCTTTCAGTTCTGTTCTGGCCATTTTGCTATTAACTGCAATCATAGTCATTACCTCCTAAAGGGGTACTAAACACCGTTTGGTGTTTTATGTTATTGCAAAGGTGTTATTAATTAAAAAGCACCCAGTGAGACCACTTGTCAATTAACTTTTTAGCTCAGGACAGCTCTTTTAGAACTATAATTTGGGTTTCAATTTATTGCTACTTGAGATGAATGTTTTACTTAAAGCTACTGGTTCTAAAGTGATATATATATTTTTTTAAACAAATTAATAAAAGTGATGATTTTTGTTATAAAACCAATAAATATACAATGTGTTTAAATTAATTAAGCGAGAGTCCCAAGACTTTGGGAGCACTGTACTTACCCTGGTATGGCAGAGTCTCTGTGGGGGGCATCTGAGCCCCCAGAAGGCATGGGGGGTCCATTGGAGCAGAGTGGGGACAGCTGGAAGTGACCTGTGCACAAATCAGTGGACTGATTAATGTCTGGGCCTTCCAGCGCAAATCAGGAGGAAACATTCTTTTGACATCTAAAATGCTTTTTCAAAATATCCATGTTTGAATTTGCAAATCATGATAATCTGAAATGGATGAGTTTACATCACAGCCTCAAGTCATAGTCACACAGAAAGGTCGAGTGATGTAATTCTCATCATCAGCCAAAACCACTTGGTCACCCGCTACCTTGAACGCGTGCCACTGGATTTTTGTGTCCGCACAGACCTGTGCACGCCGGCTGCACACACACAGCAAAGATGTGGAGGCTTAATTTCCAACTAAAAATGACCCACATTTATACAATCCACCCTTAATTAAAAGAAAGCAAGGACCCCCAATTGTGTGTCAATTTGTGGCGTGAAATCGATCAAAAAGAAGCAGCATTCTGCAAACAGAAATGGAAATCCCAGGGACATGTACATCGTAACCCTTTCCTCTACCATAGGATGCTTTGGATAAAAGCATCAAGTAAATGAATAAAATGTAAAATGGAAATGGAAGTACTTTCTAAACCAATGCTACTGTTCATGCGAGGCAGGCATCCACGTTCATTCACCTCCGTTTGTCGTATAAAAAGAACTGGATTCACACCTGCTAAACATGACTAGTCCCGCAACTGTATGCATCCGTTGAGTATAAACAAGGCTTCAGTCCTAAAACTCAGCACTGCTACTGTAATGAAGGGGAGCGGTCAGCGGCTTTGGCACTGAACACCCATCGTCTTACCTGGAATGCAGGATTAGCACCAGGAAATTCAGGCTGCGGGTTGGCAGACACAGGGGGCGGAGCCACTGTGGGTGCAGCCGCCATATTTGGAGAGTGGGAAGTCACTGCCAGTACATGTAGAAATAACGTCCAATCAGGATGGCCAAATGGGTGAACTTCATTAACATTTCCCTTTATTTACAAGCTACTCCAGACCATTCCGGCTCAATAACGCTTAGTCCTGTCAGATAGATTCTCAGCTTCGTTCACTTTCCATTAAATAACCAAAGCTTACTCCAAGCAAATCCACACGATGCAGAACAGAAACAGAAACAGCAATGTTCAACTCTGACCCTTTAACATGTTTGGCGTTCACAAAATATTTCACAATACGGTCTCTTCAAAGTAGCCAGGATCAGACTACAGTGATTAACGTGCACAGGTCGAGGGGGTTTATGGGAGGGGCCCATGTGTGAGCTCACCTTGTGAGGAGGTCAAGGGCTGTGCGGAGAGCCGGGCTGCCTGTCCTTTCGGGCTGGGATCCTAGGGTGATGGAGTGACAGCAAGTAAAAGTTCACAGCTGAGGCTTCATAAACGGAAACAGAGCTGCAATGCACCCCCCCATCTTCCATAAGATCCTATGTCCCTGCCATCCTGGACATCAGATCTGATTGGAAGTCACTTCCGCACAGGGGCAGGTAAGGGGGCGGGGCCGCAGGCCCCAGATGCAAGCTGATTGGCTCTGAAAGTGCCCCAGTCCTTGTGATTCGCAGATTAGAAACATATCATTGGGTAATGATAAAGTGGGCCCGTTTATGTGAATTATGGACACTTCCCCAATACCCACCACTGTCCTGGGGTCACTGTGTTTTGCCAGGGCGGACGTAGCCCCCATGAGACCTGGCAGAATGGGCTGTCCCACCCGGGCCACACGGGAGATCAGGTCACCCTTAGAGGCAGCGGGGTCCTGGAAGACCGAGGCGTCAGCTTGAAGGAGATACACCGGATCGTGGCCACATTGAGCTTAGCGCACATTTGGGGAAAAACAGACAGCTTACGATTAACTGCTCAGTTTGGGAATCGAAGTCTGCAGTCAGGGGGAGGTGGCTGAAAGGAGGGAAGATTAAACGGGAGTTAAGCCATTTTCAGGTGTGATCAGAGTGAACAGAAGTCGCAGAGCTAGTTGCACACCCCTGTACGGCGGAGAATGCAGCTGTAACTGGTATAACCCTTTCACGGTCAAGAACGTCGAAGGCGGAGCTCGGGGCCTCTACAGGTACCAGGCCCGGTCCATTATCCTTGCCAGACTTAATCTGAATATGAGAGAAAGGAGTGGATTTGTCAACAAAATCCAACATAGGCAGGATACCAGCAACCAGCGCCCCTCCCCAAACACTGAAGCACCACCTCACCCGGTGCAGCCTCGTCTCGAATATCAATGTGCTGTTGGCAGGGACCAGGTTCGGGATGCCCTGTGACCCATAGCCCAGGCATGGGGGCACCACCAGGAGGCGCCGCCCACCCTTCTGCAATCCCAGAATGCCCTCCTCCAGACCCTGTATCAAACAGCGTTGGGTATTGAGTCAGTCACTCATCCTGAACATTTCCCTCTCCGTCGGGAGACACGAGCAGGCGCACCTTAACCGCTTTCCCAGCGCCGAGCCTCAGCCTTAGCGGCTTGCCCCGCCCATGGGTGGAGTCAAACACCTGGAGGGAGAAAAAGGCGGAGCAGTTAGCGCCTCCGTCCCCTGATGCTGCAAACTTTCAGGCAGGAGTAGAGGGGTGAAGGTATCCAGCAATGGCCAGGAGAACCGCTAACTTGAAGGACATGATTTTCACTGTCTACCGATTTGCCCATTTACCATGTTTTTATGCCTGTCTATGTGGACTTGTTATGTACATCTATGCCTGTGTTGCCTATCTATGTCTGCATATCTATGTCTGGGTGTGTCAATACATACATGTCTATATATGTCTATATGTCTGTGTTAACGTTAATGTTGTGTTAATGCTTCACTTAGAGACAAGCCTATTCCTCACCTGTCCGACAACGTGGTTCTGCAGCAGATAGCCAGTGTAGGACACCTCCAAGGAGTCACCACGCTCCACCCCGCGGCCCTCCCCCAAAGCCAGGTCCTGCAGCACCACTGTGTCCAGACTGGGGGCGCTGTTCCATTTCGCCAGGCACACCTGAGTGTGGGTGACAGAGTGTGCATTCAGATTTGCACACAGACAGCATTTCAGACCATGTATCCGGCTTATTATTTAAGCACCTGTTTGCTGAAGTCCTCTGTGGCTTTCTCAGACTCGAACATCACTGACCAGTTCTGCTGATGATCATCATAAAAGTTGCCATAGTTACCAGACTGGAGCTGTTCAGCACGGTGGTATAGGAGATAATGGGCACACATGGTGAAACACAGAACTATACAGCTGATCTGATACAGTATACACAGTCGTGTTTGGTCATGCATGGTCAAGTATGGTTTTGTGTGGCTGTGTCATAATCACATGCCGCACATACAGCACGGTCATTAAAAATCATGTTTAATCAGATGAGATTCAGCACGGTCATGGGCACTAGCTCACCGTGAAGGTGAAGCCTAGGGAGATCCTGGCAGAGGTCACCTCATTCTGCTGGCTGCCATAGAGCAGGACCTTGTACTTGAATGGATTTTGGGTTTAGTACGCTTGCGTTCTAATTTCCACAACATAAGATCCATAAAGCAGGCTTTTTCCCAGCAAAATAATATTCGGTAAAACATTCAAATATCAGGTTACAGTATGAGATCATAAAAGTTCTTTGCTGTCTGTGATGAGAATTTATATCCTTTATCAATCACAGCAGGGCTGCCAAATTCAGGCTAAATCAGGCTACAGAAGAGAAGGGGAGACCAATTTCCCTCTTACTTTTTACCAACTTAAAGAAGTACTGAGTTTATAGGAAACCATCCAGCAACACAGAACAAGCCCACGGTTACTCGTTACGTTATGGTTAATGAACATATATAACCATCTCAGACAGATACAGAAACTATACATGCAGTCACTGGAAAATACGAAGTAAGACCCTGCACTATGAGTAAAGAAGACAAAAAGAGTAGTAATCAACTCGTACACATACAGTACTGGTCAAAGGTTTAGGCACCCCAAGCCACCTACAGAGAAGAGTGATAGAGTGTCGTATCACATGACCTGGCCACCTGACCTAAACAAGAAATGGTTTTGAAGGAGTTTGACCAGGGAGTGAAGGAAAAGCGGCCAATGAGAGCTCAGCACAGGTGTGACCTCCTCCAGGGCAGCTGGAAAAGCATCCTGGGAGGCCACCTCATGGAACTGGCATAGAGGAGACAGTAGGGTCAGCCAGTCCCAGGAGCGATTAGGGTTAAGGGCCTTGCTCAAGGGCCCAATGGTGGCATCACTCTGCTGACCATGGGATTTGAACCAGCAACCTTCTGAGTCCCAAACCACAAAGCTTCCCCATCCCCCACAACATTTCTTTTTTGTTTAATACTTTTTTGGTCAGTGCATAGTTCCATATATGTTATTTTATAGTTTTGATGTCTTTATAATTATTCTAAAATGTAGAGTACAAATAAACCCTTCTGTGGGAAGGTGTGTCCAAACTTTTGACTGGCTAGTTGTTGCTTGAATGCCCCTCCTGGCACTTAAATTTGTAACTCAGATCAAATGACCCATTTCCCAACCACCGGTCTGTGTTCTATGGCTCATGGAAAAGAGGTCAGGCAGAGTGTCTGACAGTGCAGTCCGGCTCTCACCTCCCCTGTCACATGACTCCCCAGGACTGCAGCTCCAATGTTCCCCACCTTTATGTGCTGACCATCCACACTGTGGGCCCCCCAAAACACACACATGATGCGGGTTGATATGGTCAATTTCTGCATGAATGTATACTTGTGTATGGTTTAAATTTCACATATAAGAGCTGTCACATTAATATGTACTTCAGAGCAGTGTTTCCCAAACCGGTCCTTCAGCACCCACAGCCGGTCCATGTTTTTGATCTGTCTGAACTCCTTGCCATGCAGTCCACATTTTTGGGGAGCTGGGAGGGAGCAAAAATGTGCTGTGTCTGTGGGTCCTCGAGGACCAAACTGGGAAACACTGCTTTAGACCTTCACACACCAGAAACACAGTAAGTCTTCATGGCCAAGCATCCCAGCAATTCTTATGGGGGTTCATGCTTACTATCTGAACGCCTGGACTGCAGTGGCAAATAAGACAGTGGGAACTTTGTGGGGCGGAGCTAAAGTCTGGGTGGGCAGGCCTGTAATGGAAAGGCAGAATTACTGTAAGCCTAGGAAATCCCGTGAGGTCACATCCTGTTTTTCTGACGTAATAATAAAAACTGTCACGGGTTTGTTTAGCACTTTATAGATAACAGTAATGTATACAAAGATAATACTTAATCCTCAGATTCTGGATTCCAAACTGGTGCTATTACTCCTTAAACTGAAGGATGCATCATTCTTTAAGAAGATTCATTTAATGATCCTGGGAGAGAAATTAGTGGGCATCTTTTTTAATGTTACACCAGTTTCAGCACCCTGCTGCCACTACCTGGGTTGGGACAGCTGTTCCTGGGCTGCGTGGGGGCCTTGTACTGGAAGGACTGGTTACCCTGACTCTGTGCCTGGTCCAGTCTAAACAGCATGGCCAGCTTCGTCCTGAAATCACACACACACACACACGTTTGTAATTATACCTTTGTGGGGACTCTCCATTGATTTCTATGGGGAAACTCTAATCTCAACATGACGACGTTAACCCCTACCCAGCCCTAACCGTAATAAGTAACCAAACTAAATACAAGACTTTTGGCATTTTTAGTTTTTTGATTGAGGCAGAACTTAAGAATGCCCCACTGCCAAATACAGACTGAGTGACAGTATAACATTTTCAGAACAAGTTAAACAAAAATAATATTCAGCAGATAATACACGATCACTAATACTCTAAATTGGTGTTTCTCAAACCAGTCCTCGGGGAGCTCCAGACAGTACACGTTTTTGCTTTCTCCAAATTCACTGATGAAATTATCAGCTTTCCCTCCCAAATTTATCAACAAGTGTGTTTTGTTTAAGCAGAAACCGCGCTGTGGGTCCCATGACTTTTGCATGTGATCAGAAGGCCAAAGTGGTAGCCTGAGTGATAACACTGACACTGTGACACTATCAGAAACCTGTCCCCACACGTCCGCATTATGCAACAAACTCTGCATGACACGACTGACTCAGCTGTAACGCTTTATCTGTTAGCTTCCCTTTTCCCTCCATCTATGGGAATTTAAAGATCAATTTCAGCCATACATTCAATCCAGAAACAAACACACTCAGAAAATAATGCAGAAAAAAACGGCACAGAAGCCAGAAAAACAGAGCAAAGAAAATACGTTCAAAGTGTGGAAAATGATCACGCAGTAGAATCTTCCAGAACCATCATCAGTGCAACTGCCATTCATAAGAGGCTGTCTGGGTGCTTTTAAGGCTGTATGGAGTAACCTTAAGTTCACTTCAAATATACAAATTAGAAACTGAGCATGAAGAAAACAGATCAATACTTTTCAGTTGTGGGTAGGAATGTGGTCAGAAGGTTGTTGGGTTTAGTCCCCTCTCACCCTTCTTGTTTAGAATAAGGCTTTAGTAACAGACCTTAAATGATCATGAAATTTCATAATATGAATTACCTTCAAACCAGGATAGCGAGCTTGCCAAAAGAGAACTATTTAAAATCGTTTTAAGATATTAAGACAATTAATATTAGTTAAAACACCCATAAAGACACACACGATACGCATACAAAATACTGACGCCTGGGTCTCCCTCCATAGGTAATCGGTGGTGTCCCAAACCGCAGGAAAGGCCACCACATTCACTCCTCTCCTCCTCCGCAGAGTACGGTCCATCCCACGTTCTTTCTTCAGCTCCATTCTCCCTGAGTTTCCTCCTCTCCATCCATTTATCTCTCCCTGCTGCTCCAAAGGCAGGCCCCTCATCCTTAGAACATTAACCAATCAAATTAAAAGCTGAGAGAATAGCCATAGGTGGAAAGGTTGGGGGGGGCGTGTCCTCACCTGCATTACCAGATATCTTACAGCTGTGTTTCGCAAACCAGTCCTCGGAGACCTCCGTCAGTCCACGTTTTTGCTCTCAGCAAAAGGACTGGTTTGCAAAAACTGTCTTACAGGGTATGTTTCCCAAAACCTGTTAGCAAACTGACATATACAGCACTAGAAACATTTAATGTATATAATATAACAGCCAATATTTAACTGCTGTTCCATATATTAAGCTAAGGCCACTTGAAATTAATAAATTGTTTTACATGACTCAAACTTCTAAAATATTGGTGAGTAGGGGATTTTATATTTTTAGCGAAAAGACGAACGGCAACAGAGATATACTAAAACTAGAAAAGTTCTCAAACAGCTCGCGAAGGGTAATATTACTCGGTATATTGATGCCCTGCCAAGATTTTAATACCGTGGGCCCACACACAATCTGACAAACGATAAAAACCATTGTCCGAGAAGCGTCAAATTGAAAAATCCGAGGCTGACATTCAAGATTTTTCACCCACAGTTTTTGAGGTGAAAAAAACGGATTTTTTGAAAAATATAAAATATAAAACAAATCGAGGCGGCACCAAAAAATTGAGGCGGGCGGCCAATTTATTAATTTTAAGTGGCCTAAGGGTTATTGTTCAGTCAAATAATTTTATCTGCAATAAGATTTAATATCAATTTCATTGATAATTCTTTGAAACGTTCTTAATTTGTGATGTCCCCCCACTTTGATCATTTCAATTTCAGTCTTTCAATAAAATAAATAAATACAATATTACACGAAACCCGAATGAACAGCAGCCTTTAGGTCTTACCGTGGCGGTTTTAAGGGGGTAGTTAAAATAATCTCATCATCTCTGACATATTTCATTCAACGTCTACTGAAAGTTTTGGCATATCAATCTTCTGTTTGCTTTACCCAAAACTATTGTTTATATGCACCGAGCAGGAAGTTAATGTACGTGGTATGATTCACATTTGGCCAGGACAAGAGCAAACGTTAAGTTGAAAACAGCTGCGATATTAGGAAACTTAGTGCCTATTAAATATAAAACGCCTTCCCCCAGCCAGCTTCGCAGCACACTGCGGACGCCCCTCCCAGTCGTCGAATGGTAAATCATGGTAAGCCAATCAGATATTGTCGTAATGCTGCCGCTGCTTCCAATCGGAACAGAGTGCCGTAAAGCGTGGCGACCCGGCGGTGTAGTTCGTACAGTAACTGTAATGTTGCGAATCATACACAACACTGGAGATATAGGAGCTGTACCCTCCAAACTACTGAATTTGCTTGCTAACGTTCAGATTAACATACAACGCTAAGGTCTGTAGAGCTTTGTATGCGTTTTAGCTGTAATTTGGAACCCAGCGGTATTTCCACTTAGATGATCGTTTGTCCTTGTAACGCATACTAAGAACATATACAAAACGTTCGTCATTGAAACTGTTTGCATTTGTATGTTGCTCTGTCGGTATTATGTCACCGTCATAGCTATTTATCATTCTTCAATATGTCAGTTATGTATTGCCTTAGCGTTCTTAAGTGTGGAAATTGCCGAGCAGTTTCTATGTACAGATCCAGCTGGATTGTATTAGTGGTTATGGCGGTCTGACTATTGAAATAAACAATAAAATCAACATTAAATGATAGTTAAGGAATATAGCTCGGTGGTAAGATCTATGGCTAAGACCGAAACTTACGTTCCTTTTATGTTTAGCTAAGCCCAGATGTTGCATGGTGGCCAACTTTGGTCAGATGGCTACAAAGATTTTCAGTTCAAGACGTGTCTGCATAGACATGCGCACAGATGTACATGTATCTAACGGGTTTATTATCTTGTAAATAGTCTTTACGGTATACAAACTACCCAACGCTTTTCATGTAGCTAATTCTAGGTTTATAATAGAATAATATAGATTTGCCGTAAGACTTCTTGCGTGAGCGTGAGAGTCACGCCAGATGCTTGAGAGTTGGCAACCCTGATGCTGTAAGACGACCTCCAGGTGCTGTGCTGCCTTGCGTCCTGCAGGATGTCCGATCACACCCTGCTGGTGTTGTACGGCAGCCAGACCGGGACGGCCCAGGACACGGCCGAACGCATCGGGCGCCAAGCTCAGAGGAGACACGTGAAGGTCCGGGTGGAGGCGCTGGACTCTTATAATGTGGTAAATGCTCAAAGGGCGTGTTCCGCAGCTTGGGTGATAATATTATCTGTGGCTTAACAAGACTCGGCTCTGCAGTGAACAAAAAACGTGGCGTATTGGTCTCTGCCTGCATGACATTCAAATCTTTATAAGACGACCAAGGTTTTCCAGAGCCCCTAACGAATTTGGCAGGGTAATGAATTTCTGATACAAACAGAACTACTTCTGCATCTTAAATCGTTGTGAACTCTGCAGACCTTATGTACTCCCACACAGGCAAACCTGATCTCAGAGTCCTTGGTGATGTTTGTTTGTTCCACAACTGGCGAAGGTGATCCGCCAGACAACATGAAGGTATGTGCTGGTTAGCCAGTCAGATCAAAATGTTTGATAATGCTTGATTGGCTCTATCACTTATTCCTTTGCTTGTATCTGTGTCTCTGAATAGCCAGTATGTGAATGTGCATATTGGGTTTTGCCATGGTCTGCCTCCATCTTACATCACCTGTGCTATTTGTACCTTCATATACCCATAAATATATTGACTGTAAATATGCAACTTGTTTTTTCATGTAGAACTTCTGGCGGTTCCTATTCCGGAAGTCTCTGCCCCTGGGTTCCCTGTGCCGCCTTGACTGTGCTGTGCTGGGTTTGGGAGACTCATCCTACTCCAAGTAAGAACACAGCAGCCCCCTCCCAGTGTTTCCCCTAGGTTTACAGCTTTGGGGGGGGGGGGCGGCACCGACAGGATTCATGATGTTCATGTGTTTCTTTTAATGACAGCAGTCAATATAACAACTGAACTAAACATCAGAACATTTCTTTTTATGACAGGGGAGCAGATACATACAGAGAGCAGAGAATTGTAAACGAGCGATTGTGTAGAGACAAAAATGAGCTGTTGTGTAAATAAGATAAATAACATAAGGCTATTTAGTTTGTTTAAAACAGGTCTGTACATTGTCCTTTTATTATAGGAAAGGTAACCTTAAATGACTTCTGTTTTGATTTGGCGCTATATAGAAAATAAAATTAAATAAAATTAACTTGACCTTCAAGGGGAGGCGGGAGGTGCCGTTGGGGGGGTGGGGCGCCCCCCTAATATAATGGTAGGGGAAACACTGCTCCTCCCTACTTTTAGTTAGCCCCGCCCACCAAAACCTGACTTGGCTCACAATAAATTCTCCTTAACTAACCACTTGTGATCAGCAAATCACTGCAGAAGGGGTGTTTATCAATACCAAGAATGCAAAGGTGCAAAGAATACTTGTGGTCTTGCCAAGAGCGATCTTGCTAACTTGCCTCCCAGGAACGAACTTGGGACACAGTGAATCATAAGATTGGTCACGTTTAGCAAGGATGCAGCCAATGCATCCTTAATATTCGCAGTGGGGCAAGAACGACCTCCAGGGATTTTAACCGCCCCCTGTACTTGTGTTCTTGAGTATTGGAAGTGGTCTTCGACAATGGAAGATGACATAAAATGGGTACACAAGAACACAAGTACGGTCAAGTATGCATACTGAGAAATGCGGTGCTGGGAAATGCTTGCATTTAATGCGCTTGTTTGATCGCAGGTTTAACTTTGTTGCGAAAAAGCTCCATAAGCGCCTACTGCAGCTGGGGGCCAGCATTCTGCTGCCCGTGGGACTGGCAGACGACCAGCACGACCTCGGGTAAGCACGGTTTCTGGAGTGGGGAAAACAGCCCTTCACCCTCCTGAGTTGAAATGGCTGCTGTTTCCCTCTTCATACTGGAATGGACTATAGATCGAAGCAACAACAGCTTGTGGTCATAGTTGGACTCTCAGATATACTGTACCTTTGTGTTTCACAGTCCCGATGGAGTGATTGACCCCTGGCTCACTGCATTCTGGGAAAAAGCCTTGTCCTTGTATCCTCCCCCTGCAGGACTGAAGGCGCTCAGTGACACAGAGTTGTAAGTCTGGGATTTACCATGCAGTTACTCCACTTTAACATTTCAGATACACCTGCTAATAATCATTTCACTGCCTTGGTTTGCAGACTCCCTCCTAGGTACACTTTCAACTTTCTGGATAATGCCACAGAGAAGCCAGCTAATTGGTCCCAGAACATGACACTTGTGACCAATCGTTCACAACCCTGCCCCTTCATGGCGCAAATGATGTCCAATCAGAGGGTGACACATCCCACGCACTTCCAGGACGTGCGACTCATCGAGTTTGATATTACGGGGTCAAATATAGAGTGAGTACCACGCCATCCCATAGAAATATCAACTGAATATAATATAGAGTGAGTGTCGCACTGTCCCACAGAACCTTATGTAACCCAAAGGCTGCAAGTTGACATTCCAGAAGGTGCATCTTTGAGAAATGTGCCTTTTCCAGCAAAATATCAAGCTTTATAACTGTGGTAAGAGTGTCAGTTAAGCAGCAAAATAATAGCAATATGTGTGAGAACCCAAACTGAAATACACACAAATCAGTTTTATCATTGGAGGTAAAGTTTTCACTGTTAGATGTGTCTTCAGATTAATGTAGATGTGAGTTATGCTGCCCGTCTTCTTGGTGGAGAGGGAGACTTTAGATGAGGACAGTGTGCCCACGTCTGTGCCCCTGCAGGTTTGATGCCGGAGACGTGCTGATGATGCGTCCCCAGAACTGCCCCGAGGATGTGCAGCAGCTGTGCGAGCTGCTAAAGTTAGACCCGGAGCGGCAGTTCATCCTGACGCCAACAGATGGCGCCGCAGGTTGGGGCAGTTTCATATTGTCACAAAGCTGCTTGAATTGTTTCCTGATGTTTGGATAACCTTACCCTATGACGTGTGACCCCTGTGCCTATCAGCCCCCGGGCCTGCCCGCCTGCCCCAGCCCTGCACAGTCAGGTACTTGCTGGAGCGTTTCCTGGATGTGGCCAGCGTGCCACGCCGCTCCTTCTTTGAGGTGCTGGCCTGCTTTGCCACCAATGAGCTGGAGAAAGAGAAGCTTGTGGAGTTCTGCTCTGCAAAGGGTCAAGAGGAGCTACACAGCTACTGTAGCAGGCCCCGGCGCACAGCCTTGGAGGTAGGTCCATGGGTGGGGTCATATTGGACACGCCCCTTGGAGGCAGTCCCATGGAGGACATGCATAGTGGGTGGAGTCATAATTAATACATCTGACAGGTAGAAGTATGTTGAGTAGCATTGTGGGCGGGGTCTTGTTGGACACATCCCTTAGGGGGCGGAGTCATGCTAATCCAGAGGGAAGTAGGGAAGGTGGGGTGTGAAAATAAAGTTTTTCTGCTGTCTTCCTCTTCCCCTCCCTCCCTCTCCTGAAGGTGCTGGCCGACTTTCCACACACCATGGCCACCATCCAAGTTGACTATCTGCTGGACCTCTTTCCAGAAATCCAGCCTCGCTCCTTCTCGATCGCCTCCTCACTGCTGGTAGGCGTCCTGAAGGCTCAGGGGTGGGGCGGGTAAGCGTCAGGTGTGACAGACATGCTGCTGTTTATAAATATGCCTCCACGCTGTAGGAATACCGCGCATCCATGTGCTCAAGTGCATCTTACCTGTTTAGTTTCAGCACGTTTGTCAAAGGTCCAACAGTTGAGGTTGGCAGAACCAACCTCCTTTTTGTGACTTTAACCACAACCAGGACTCCCCTGTCCTCCAGGCCCGTCCACACCGGATCCAGATCCTTCTAGCTGTGGTGCAGTACAGGACTCGCTTGCACAAACCGCGCAAGGGCCTGTGCTCGTCATGGCTGGCCTCGCTGGACCCCACGCAGGGTGAGGAAGTGCTGGTGGTCACTGGTCAGCCTGCTGCCGCTGTATAAGCTGCCCAAAAGGCATCCTGGTCTGCCAGTCTCCTCACTGGAATGTGCCACTCTGCAGGGACGGTGTCAGTCCCTCTCTGGGTGAAAAAAGGGGGGCTGAAGTTCCCTACTGATCCGAACACCCCCGTGATCATGGTAGGGCCTGGGACTGGAGTGGCACCCTTCAGGTCTGCTGTACAGGAGAGAGTCGCCCAGCACAAAACGGGTGGGTATTTTTCCTGTCCCTCACATAATAATCAGTCCCCTTTAAGGTTCAGTGTTGTTTTATCTAGTATCCAGTGTTATACGCTGCTCCTCTTTGATTACGCTCTAGTTTTCTGCTCTTCCTGCTTCAGTTCATGCTTTACTTTAGTATTACACAGTATTGTGTTTCCATTACACTCTAGTATTACATTCTCTCTTCCAAATGCCTCCATAACAGGAAATGTGCTTTTCTTCGGCTGTCGCTCCGAGTGCAAGGATTTCTACTTTCGCTCGGAGTGGGAGGAGCTGGAAGGGGCCAGTCAGCTTACCCTCTTTACGGCTTTCTCTCGGGACCAGGTGGGCACAGAGCACCTCTCTCTCTCTCTCTCTCTCTCTCACACACACACACACACACACACACACAGGCCTGCTCAGTGTAGGTATGTGCTCGCGCCCACAGGAAGACAAGGTGTACGTGCAGCATCGCGTGACGCAGCAGGCCGCCCTGCTGTGGGACCTCATTGTGAATAAGGATGCATATTTCTACATAGCTGGGTGAGTCTGACCTCTGGTGGAGGGACCCGGTAGTACAAAATCCGGCTATGGCTGTCCGAGCCATGCATGCGAAAATCAAACATGGAGAACATAAAGAACAAAAGAAAAAGACTCATTCCTGGAATATTTTTTATAGCTGCAACCCATCCTTGTGTTTATGTACATAATGATCATTTAAGAGTATTTTATTGCCCCCACCCCTTTTTCGTCTGTGCCCCACATCCCCCACCCCCTTTCCCCCCCTCCTCACACCAGCAATGCCAAGGATATGCCCACAGCTGTGTGCGATGCCCTGAAGGGGCTCTTCCAGAGTGAAGGTGGCGTGTCCGCCTCCCAGGCCGAGGAGATGCTGGGCGCCATGGAGAAGGCGGGCCGATTCCAGAGGGAGACATGGTCCTGATCCAGCTCAGCTCAAGGACGGGGTGCGGCTCATGTGACCATGTGACCCTGCGACCAGCCTATGTGCCAAGGAGCCCATTATGAATAAGGCTGCTGTTTGGTCAGACAGTACTTTAAAGCTTTAATGGCGTTTTTAGCTTTGGGCTAACTGGATGAAAACAGGCCTTAGCATTTGTCTGCTGGGACCATTTGGACTGATGTTATTACTACAGTCACTACTTAAGAAAAGATGACAACAAGGCTGCAAACTCATTCCCCCTTGGTTATTTTCAGGGGCTATTTACAAATCATTTACCAACTGATGCTAGATAAAAACACTCCCACGCCCAGCTTTGCTGCTTTCCGGAATGGTCACAGCAGATTGTATCGACGGTGGTCAGTCATTACAGCACATTTTAGGCTCCTTATAAAGGATGTACAGGGACAGACTTCTCCTGCGCCTCCTTAAAAGGGACAGTGGTAAAAAATAAACAGCCTCAGCGGAAATGGGGGCTGCTTGTGTACAAATAAATAAAATCACATTCGATTTTCATACGAGCTGCTGTCATTTGTGGACCAATGGGAAAGTAAGTTTCACATTAGTCTAAAACATATTTGTATATATAATACAAATACATACCTTGTTATATGCTACTTGAATGTGTTTAATGAATTTGATTACGCCTTTTTCTAGTTATTAGATGTTATATATATATATTTCCAGCACGTAGGGTTTAGTTATGTGTTTTTCGTGTAGCTCATATGAGAATAATTCAAGATCTGAATCTAATTCAATGCAACAGCACCAGGGAATAGGATCCCACAAACTTCTGGCCCCAAGGTGCTGCCCTCAGGACTTGAGTTTGACCATTTTAGATACCAGGCAGGTCTCTCCTCCAGCAGATCCCCTAATCCTCCAAAATCGGAACGTCCACAGTGGTTCTAGGTGCAGATGTCACAATTCCACAGTAGAGGTGTTCCTAGTCCTCCAAGCTCACAGCATCACAGGTTGGCGTTCCAGAACAGTTCTTCATATAGTTACCCGAGACTGACGAACACAGTGGTTCACTGTGCTGACGCATTGATATATAAACATGGCTGGCGCTCTTTTTGAGTGCTGGAACGGCATGTGCAGCATGCACCTAGGAGCCTGCATTGTTATCGTGACGTCTCTCCCAGAATGCACTGGATGAACGCCAGTCTGTCAGACTGTCCCCACATTGCCCACTGCAGTCAAGCCACCAAAATCCCAATGGCACTGCACATGGCAACTCCAGTGCTGGACTCGGACCAAATCCAGCTTCCACTAGTCTATTGATACTCCAGCCAAGGCTCTTACTTAGGACTTAGGTGAAACCAAAGGGATGAAATTCAGACATTTTCCATGGATTTCATGATAAGTTATATTTTTTTACAATTCATCTCCAAATTTGAGAAGGCTGACTGGCAGAAAAGTCATGATAAACACTCACTTGCGACAAGGAGACACCATAGTCATTATGTCATGTGATTGACCAAAACCCTCAACCCCAACTTCAGCTTAAAATCTAATTACACCCCTTTCATGCTGCTAATTTACAAACCCAGACCCAGATACTTCATGTAAAAGTGTCCCAATTCAATAGCCGACAGGAAAAATTAAGGTACTCTGCCATGTGGATCCACAAAGCCCTCTGAACGTCACCTTGGCTAAACCGTGACCATGTTAAAAAGCTTTCTGTGAACAACGAGGGCCTCCAGTCACACTAATAAAACTGGGCTGGAACTTATAACATGAACAGCAATCAGGTGTGTCCTGCAGATGTTGGTGATGTTCTACACAGAACTGGATTCAGGTTAGGAGTCTTGACAACCTCCACACACCTGCTTCTTTCATGCACACCAGTTTATGTGGACCCAGCCCAGCCTACATGGACACCGATTGGTTGGATGCCCAATAGAGGTGTGGCTGGGGGGAGGGGCGGAGCCTGGAACACCTCACCCCGCCCTCCTATCTAAGTGCCAGCGTGTAGACCTGGTAGATCTCCTCAGGGAAGTTCTCCTGGCGTTCCTCGCGGATGACCTGCAGACCGGCACGGAGCACCAGCTCGCGCACCAGCGGCAGCTCCCGACACACGCTGCTGTCCACCTCGTCCAGCACCACGCCCTCGTACGCCACGTTGTCCTTCACCACAATGAGCCCCCCCGGGGAAAGGCCGGCCCGGCAGCGCTGCAGGAAGCTCACCAAGTGCTCGTCTGTTAGGTGACCTGGGCCAGTCCACACAACATCAGCCAACATTACCACCAGGTGCCAGTTAATATTTTCTTTCCATTTACATTGTGCTTATTATCTAAATTAAAAATAAAAAATAAAAAACATATTTACACAACTGGATATTTTAATGGACTGTACATCTGGATGTAAAGCACCAACTTTAGTGCTAAAAGCTGGAGAAGTTGGGGTTGTGAGCCTTGTTCAAGGGCTCAACAGTGATTACACTGCCAGCCACAGGATTTGAACCCATAACCTAATCTAGATGTGGGTCCTGCATGTCACATACACTGGATGAAGTAATACATGTCAGGTATTGCTATAAATATCCCTGGGAGTTACACACCTCAACAGCTGCAACTAGAGGTAGAGAGTTAGACATATTTCACCTTCAAAAGTACTTCTTGTTCACACATGCACACCTACGGACAGTTGTGTAACTCTGTTTAACCTCAGCATGTTCTTGGATTGTGAGGGGAAACCGGAGTACCTGGAGGAAACTCCACAACGACACAGGGAGGACATGCAAACCCCACACGCGAGCTACTGCAGAGACCCAGAAGTGTGAGGCATCAGTGCTAACCACTGCACCACTGGGCTGCCACATGACTATTTATAATAAAGCTAAGTTTTCATTGGTCGGCTAACTGTGACATGCATGCTGCGTGCATGTGAAGTGCAGGCAGAGACCTCAGGAAGTCCTGGCCCATCCATGATGTTCTAGCACCGATCTAGGCCACGGCACATCAACAGAACCCCAGCTGGACTCACCGATGACCCACTGGATCCAGATGACATCATAGCGGCCTGGCTGAGGCTCGAAGTCCTGCAGGCCGCAGCAGAAAAAGTTCCCCACCCTCTTGCCCTCCTCGCCCAGGTAGGAGCACGCCTTGTCCAGGAACTCCTGGGTCACATCCACCAGGTCCACCGTGCGAAAGAGAGGGAGCAGCAGGCGCTTGGTGATGCGGCCGATGCCGGCACCACAATCCAGGGCACATCCCGTGCCCGTCTTCCCCTTGCCTTCCTGGTGGAAGGGGAGAGAGATGCCAGGCTGTCAGGCCTGTTCTTGGGCAGTGGCAAGCTTGCAGAAGTTTTACTAAACAAAAAATGTTCTGAGGGCGGGACAAAAAAATGTTTGGTTCAGAGAGATAACCAATCAGATTGTAGAGGAGGTGGGTCCAAGCAACTAGAGAAGGCGAGACCAAGACATCTGATTAGTTGGTCCTTATAAACCTTATATTGGTTCCTCTACAACAGGGCTGCCCAACTCCAGTCCTGGGGGGCCGGAGCCCTGTGTAGCTTAGTTCTTTCCCTGTTCCACCATAAATGATTCAACTCAAGAACTGTGTGGTAATTAGCACAGAATCAGGTGTTGTAAATGAGGGGAAACACAAAAATGTGCAGGGCTCCGGCCCTCCAGGACTGGAGTTGGGCACCCCTGCTCTGCAATCTGATTAGTTATGTCTTTGAACCAATCATTTTTCATTCTGCCCTCAGAACGTTTTTGTGTAAGTAAAACTCCCACGAGCCAAACATCAAGGCAGCTCATTGGACAGTGGTGTCAGTGATTTTGCTCATTTAAATTAACATCTGTGTGTGTGTGTGTCTTAATACCTTTTTGCTCAATTCATATTTATTTTGAAGGCTTATACAATGCTATTTAAAAACTTCACAACATAATTAACAGTTTAAAAACAATTTAAAAATGTGAAAACATTGCACCCAGCTAAGGCTGGATATCCCGATTAAGAGAACTAACTACCGACAGGAAAAGCTCGATCTAGTAGTTCCTTAACCACTATCGCACCTGCATATCCGTCGCGTTAAGCAAAGATGATCCTGCCACTCACCCCAAGGAATTTCTGCAGGAACTTCTTGGAGCTGTTGATGTCTACGGTGGAGATGCTGCCATACCCGCCCAGCATGCCGTCTACCGTAGGCTGGACGTCTTGCCAGTACTGCTCAGCCTTGGAGTAAAAGGCTGTTTCGTCCTCCACCACATCGACCATCCTGCACACAGCCCAGACCAGCCCTGGTGTCTCATGAACATAATGAGGTTTAAGATTGTACATTCTTTGTCATTTTTAATATCAGGTCAGTTTTGTTACAGACTAACAGCCACTGAACACAAACTAACAAAAGCACCAATTTTAGCACTAATAAAATATAACTGTTACTCAAGATCATTAACACAGAGTTTTACTTTCATGACTTAATGATGAAGTCATTAATTCATTCATTCATTAGGACAATGTTCCTCAAAGTGTGCAGATGTCTATTTTTGTCTTTGCCCCCGGATCACAAGGCTGAAGCCAGTTCATGATCGGCCATTGTGCCATACGCTGATTCCACACTTCAGCTGTCGTCGGGGGGATGGGACGGGGGTTAGAGGTCAGATAGAAACCTGCCTGGCATCTAAACTCTAAACTTGTGAGGGACTGAGAGACTGGCCTCTACAAAGTGCCAGGAAAAAGGGCCACACTGCGTGACAGGCTGGCTGGCTACTGAGAGCTTCGCCCTGAAATCCCGCCGTATATTAATGCGGCTTTGGGAGTAGAGCCACAAACCTATGTGAGGCTACAGACACCTGGCCGGCTTACAGCTGCCTGATCCAGAATGACATTACCGATGGCTTCAACATCACAGTATCGGGGAGACGTAAACCTGCGTCCCAGACTGACAAAGGCACCCAGTACTGCGGTCGTCTGACCAGAAGCAAACCATATTACACCACCCCACGTTAACGGTTACTGATCCACATACATAGTTAAAATGAAGAGTGATACAGGATATAACTTCAACTGTGCGATTATACATGCAGACTGTCACGCTGCTAGAATATGAACTATATAAGGAGTCTGGTCCGGACTATTTATAGAAAGACATTGTGCTGCGGCACATGGAGGAAAAGTGCAGGGTACCGTTTCAGCCCACATGCTTTCCTCTCCCTCTCTCTCTACGACCAGCACACGCTGGTCATTATAAAAAGAATGGCGACAACTTACCTCGCAGCAGCGTCAGTACCCCCTGGAAACCCTAAATGCTGTCAGACATGACACGAAACAATCTCCATGGATGTCTTCCACAACCCCGACGTCTAGTGCTTTGCCGGTGACGCCACTTCCGTGTTGAGATGGCGCATGTGCAACGCTTGGTGTTGGATGCCGCCACCATGTGGCAGTGAAGTGACAATACAACGCTGGGGTCTAATGCGGCAATGCAATTTAGCAGTTATCTGGAAGTCATGAGTGTTTCAGGATTCTTTTGAAACACTCATGTTTGAATAAAACAACACACACTTC